CTTCGTATATAGGCCTTACTACCCCATCCTTCCACATATTATATAGGGCATGTGGCTTATGGCTGTGGAGGATTCCAGTTGTTACACCAAAATCTTTTTATGTATGAGAAAAGAGTTCATAGGCTTAACTGTTCTTAACTTTAGCAGGCATTTCTTAATTCACTGGCAACAGAAGGGCAATGTTATGCTGTATTTTGATACTACTTTATCCTTAGCAGATCCTTTTCCTATTGAGGTGATTTTCCAAAAGTTGATTAAAGCAGCTTTGGGAGCAGATCATGCTAGAGCAATGGTGCAAAGCAGAATAGTCTCCTACAACAGAGTCTTTATTTTAAGATAGGTAAAAGTGGCTTTAATATATTCTTAATTATTTTGCCATAGCTAGTAAAGACTATGTGGTTTTAACCACTTACAGAGGTTAAAAATCTCTGCAATGGCAGTGACGCTGAATGGCAGCGACGCTGAATGACAGTCTGCTGGCCATCCTCTCATTTAGCTGTGGCAATGCAAGGTATGTAACACAACTGCATTCACCATTGTTATCACTGGTTTTTTTTTCTCTTTCTAATGAAGATTGCCAGGCAGAGTCCAGTCTCTCAAGTGGTCCTTGAAATCTGCTTTATAAGCAAGAATTTGAATTTACTTGACAATATAAGATGAAGGGGTAAAGGAATAAAAACCCAAACAAAAAAAAAACCTTAACATTAAAGCAGTGAATTAAGTTTGCTAAAAAGCAAATGACAATTTTGGGAAGTGTTTCAGCTCTTTACATAAAGTGCATTATTCCTTTTAATGAAATATTTTTTGTGTATGCTAGTTCAAAATACTGTACATTGAAAACTGTAAAGTAGATCTTATGCAAACACTCAGCAGTGTTTCTGTGCTGCGTGTCACACTCTCAGTGTTATTGTTCACACTTTAATTCTTTCACACTCTAGAGTCCTTGTGCAGCCTCCTGCCCAAGGCATAGCTCAGTAAGAAAAGGATGAATAATGCATTTTTAATTAATACAGTTACATAAATTGAGAGGGTCAGTTGAAGGGTTGTTCATATCGTTGATGTGATTCATGCCACTAAAGACATGAAAGCACAAGCAAAGGCTTTATTCTTTCTGAGTTTGAGGAAGTTATTTTAGCTTACACCTTCTAGAGAAAGCAGACACTGGGTCCAAGAGTATAAAAATGGCTGTTTAAGTAGGTCCCTCTCTAGCCTGTGGTCTTACCTGTGCCACATGCCAACACAGAAGCTTAGAAGCAAAGTTAGAAGCAGAGGAAATGTCAAGTGTTTACCCTGTGATCGTGCTCCCATGGCCAGTGGCTTAGCAAACCCTTGAGAAGGAACTTCATCTGCACTGCTGTGTTTGTGAACTTTTAACAGTTTGTATCTTTTTAGTCAGTTGGCCATTGTAATCCAAAACATCCTGTTGCAATAAATTCCATTGTTCAATGATGTGTTGTATAAAAAAGTACTTTCATCTGTTTATTTTAGACCTACCACTGAATCACTCCATCAGGTCCATAGTTTTTATGTTACAGCACTTGTGTTAGAGTAGTAATTAAATCCTCATTTGCCTTCTTTACACACTACATGACTTTGGAGTTTTCTGCCATATCCCCGCTTAGTTGTCTCTTTTTCAAGCTACCCTGTTTACTCTCATACAGAAGTTACTTTATTCTTCTGATAGCCTATGTTGCTTTTCTCTGTGTCTTGTCCTGTTCTACAGTATTTTTTGAGAGAGTGTAATTAAAAGTAATTTGAAGTGAGACTTCAGTCCGAATTCAAGCTACTCAATTTCAGGTCATCAGTGTTATAGAAATGAAGTGTGTTTACACATTGGCACATTTCAATAAATTCAGAAGTCTGCTTTACAGCTTGGACCCACAAACAAGTTGTTGTAGCACAGCTATCAAGACAACAAATAACTGGAGCACTATAGTGGTGCACTGTATGACTGCAGCCTTCCACTTACGGGCTTAATAGTGATGCTTAAATAGCAGACTCCATTTTCTAACATGGCAAGATGCACCTATTTCTTTGTCGATTAAACTTACGTCTCTATCCAGCCTGAAGATCAGGAATTGGTCATGGGTGAAGATCTAGAGATTAGTTATGAGAAACAAGAGATTCTTTTTTGGATCTGTAGTAAATTGCTTCCCTCACATTGTAATCTTAGTTATACAGAAAATGAGTATATCCCAGATAAATAGGTAAGAAGGGTATCTTTAGACTTAAAAATAAAGTTATAACAAAACTCAAGAAACTGAAAGCAGGTGCAAAAATGGTCATTGGTTAAAGCATTTACAACATCAATCAATCTCTAAAAATCAGCCTTAACCTACTTTCATATTAGAGTAGCTACCTGAGTGACTAAGAAGGTGACATATATTTCAGGACCAAAATTTCAAAGACTACTTATACCACACAACCATTTTTATCATTCAAGCAGAGGCTGGGAGACAGAGATTTGCAGAGATCAAATGATCTGCAGGAAGCTTCAGCCTGGAGCACTGAGTGCCTCTAACTGTTTCATTCATTGCATTACTTGTGGTTTTTTCATCTGAAGTAGAATTGTTCCCAAGTTGCAAAATTTTGATAGTAAGTACAGCAAGTACCATATTTTGAGTACAAAGTTTGGATATCTTTTTCATTTTTAAGAGAAACCAAACAGTTAAACTTCCCTTTTGTATGATACCTGAATATGACAAGCAGAAGAAAAGATTCGCTTTTATATACTAAAATTGTGAGAGGCTCTTCATTACATCTTACTCCTTCATTACATACTCCTGTACAGAAACTCTTAAATAAGAAGATGTCCTTTTCAAATATTTAGATCCACCTGTTTACTGTTTATTTCATTGTCTGCCATGATCATCGTATTCCTGGAGGGGTGAAATTTAGGTGAGACGATAGCAGTTGTGCCCTGTAGTAGCAGGTGCATCAGGCTTGATTGCTGTTTGGCTAGAGATGCTCATGTAGGTGGCTGACTGCACGTGATCAGAGCGACTACCAACTTTTGAAGAGACAAATACCAGTTTCTACAAAAATTAAATAATTGGTTTTCACTTTTAATCTGTTTTGCTGTATCTGTGATACGAAGTGCCAAAAGTGGTCACATTTGTTTCTTCAGTAACTTTTCTGTAAGCAAACATTTTAAAAAAAATAAGCAAGAATTGGAGTCTCTCCTTTGGCTTGTCTTGTTTTAAAATGTTGCAGTTTCTCAGAGTAGGAAGCAAACTACTTAGCATCTTATCTCAGAAACTTCTGTCTGAAAACTCAGGTTTATGAAAACAATGAAAAAATTATATGCAATACATTTGACATTTGTACATGTAATGATTCCCCATTGTGCTTGCTTCTTAAATATGCTTTTTACCATTCTGTTTTTGACAGCCAAGCAAAATTCTGACTAATTCCCTCTGTTGGCTTTGGAGAAGCAATCACTCAGCTTAGAACTGCTTTCTGCTTGCAGAGTCTTTCAGCTTTCAAAAAAGAAACTGAGTACCATGCAAAACCCCATTATCTTTCACATGCATATGTATCTGTTATTCAAAGACATCAGCCTTTAGGCCCTATGGTTTTGGCAAAGGGTGAAACTGAAAAGGCTAGTTTCAATGTGATTATTATTTTTAATGTTGCACAGCATCTGATGCTTCTAAGACACTTTACGCTTTGATTAAAGACATATTTTTGCTATCCTGTCTCATAGTGGTCAGTGGGATGTTCCTCCTGCTACACCGCTAAATGCCTTTAAAGCAATCTGGTCGTATACTCAAGAGTTCCAACCTTTTTGTAACCCTGTTTAACACAAGGCTAACTCTGGTCTGATGAGGTTTATCTCCCTTGACCCCCTGTCTAGGCTATGGTAGAAACAATTCACAGCCAACAACTAACAAAGAATATAGCAACACAATGCAATGATTGATGTTTGTGTGATAACACTATGTAACAACTTGCTTGCCTCCCTTACTTGCAGCCACTCATTCCCACAGTTTGACCAGTACAACTGTGTCTGTTTATCTGAACCAACAGAATGACCAGGTTTGAGTTTCTAAATTCCCTTTTTTATTCCTATCAAGCACTAACAAATTTTACATTGAATTGGGCTTGGGAGAAGCATTTTACCAGTAATAGGCTGGCACTATTGTAATGAAGTTTTATTTTTAAAGATTGGGGATGTAAAACAATGTTGGTGGCAGATTTTGAAGGTACCAATGTGAGCCACATGCTGGAATCCAGTTCAGTTCCCATGTTCCTTCTGCACCTACCCACCATTTGCCTCTTTGAAAACTCTCTGCAGCTTCTAAACCCGCAACCAGACATGTTGTTACTGGCTCAGGAAAACTGTCCCATACCTTCAGTTGGATCTGTGAGCTGTTGAGTACAAAACAAAACCTTTTTGAAATTATTAGTGTAAGATTTTGGTTTTCTGGAGACTGCTGTTAGCAACCAGGAAGCTTTACTTACTTAATCACAAGCAAAGTAATTGAAGTTTCACTTCTGTTTACTTCTGAAAGTTACATTCTTAACATGTTATGTTCATTATTTCCATTTACTTTCTATTTAGACAAGCAATCTGTGAAGTAATCACTAGGCCAATCAAACATTCAGTGTAGGGCTGACTTGATGAGGTGAATTGGATACTGCAAGAGGTCTAAGTTTGTACCAAGAGACTGTTCCCTGGTCTGGTTGAGGAGGTTAACTGCAGTTTTTTAGCATCTGCAGGCTTCGCGACTTCTTGTTAGGGTTAAAGCCTGAACTAAGAACCTTAGTTGGCCAGCTTTTCTGTAGCACTGTGTTAAATAAGATCTCACTTCTCTTCTAAGTGGAATAAAGGTGTGCCAAAACAGTGTCATCATTTATGATCTCAGTTTAGAGAGAAGAAGGAAACTTTTGCCTTTTTATAGTGTAAAATGAATGCATAATAGATAAAACAAGTTTACAGGATTTATTCACGTGAAGTTGTATGAGAGTTTCTTAATGTACTTTTTCTTTCTTTGCAGCTATTGGCTGACAAACAAGGTCCACATTAAACGACCCAGCACTGGTCTTCTCATGTATACTCTTGCCACCAGATTTTGTGATGAAATTCACCTGTACGGATTTTGGCCATTCCCAAAGGATTTACATGGAAAACCAGTCAAGTATCATTATTATGATGATCTGAAGTATCGGTACTTTTCTAATGCGAGTCCCCATAGGATGCCATTAGAGTTTAAAACATTGTATGTATTACATAACAGAGGAGCACTTAAATTAACAACAGGGAAATGTGCACAGCCATAAAGCACAAGTACAATAAGAAGTACAAAATACACACTTCATCATAAAGATGTTGTGGAATGGCAATGGGATCCCAGTGAGGATATGTTTAAATACCCACTAAGCCATCGGAAAAAGGAATTTTATCAGAAGTACATAACCAGCTATTATACCTGTAAAGTGCTATATAACTAAGCTATCTTGACTGCAAGGGTTCAAGTAAGTGCCACTTTCACTAAGAGCAAGGCTTGAATGTATATTCGGTAGTGTTTACAGGATCCAGTGACACATTCATCATGAATTAAAGAAGAAAAATACAGCCTGCATAGTGCTGACTTGCCACTGTGGTCTGACAGCCCACAGGAGAAATCCCAAGTGGATGGAATATTTTCTTGAGCGAAGAAACCAGGCTTTGGCAGAAAAGATCATGATGGAATTGAGTAGAGAAAGTGAAGTCCGTACGATCAACCAAATCAGTAAATGCCTTCAGTCAGAGGACTGTTTCTGATCTTGTATTATAACCTCAGCTTTTGTTGCTGTTTTTCTTATTGCTGTTGGTTGGGTTTTGTTGCTTTTAAGTATTGGAGCCCTGAAAGGATTTTGAGGATGTTACAAGTAATTAAAAGTATATATCATATGGAATCGTCTTAGGAAAAAAATTTGTAGGGGTGGGAGGGTGGAGGGAAACATCAAATATTTTATCAATTGTTGTGTTGTATCCTGCTGTCACACAACCCTTAACATCTCAATTGTTTTTCTAGCTACCGCTGTCAACAGCCACTACATGGAACCACTCAGAGGTCATTTTGATCCATTTTTAAAGAGAAGTTTTTCTGTTGTGCTCAGATTTGAAGACATACAAGAAGGTGTCCTTATTTTTGGTACCAAAGATTACTTTTATACACGTTTTTTCCTCTCCTTGAAGAAATGGTATAGATTTAGTATGATGTTTCTTTGCTGCTGAAGGGAACATATTCTTTATGTTATTTAAATTTTTTAATTAAGAATCTTAAAGCAAAGTCTCTTCACTGACTTTGTGTGTAGAATTTCATTCTTCAGAAAAATCTGCAGGAGTAAAGAAATTATCTCATACATTCAAATATATATATATTTACAATTTTTATTCCTGATTGAAAAGAAAACACAAAGTCTAAAGAAACTCAGGTGACACTGGAACACATCTAAAGAAAAAAAAAAAGACTTAGCCAATTAAATGGAAAATAAAAGAACTGTAGACCAAACAGTTCTTTTAAAACTTAAATTTCTGATGGTGTTGGATGGTATCTCTAATATAACTCTTTTGTATCAGCTTAATGTTCTGATGTGTGATTGACTGAAATAACACAGAGCTGCATTATCTCACAGTGATTTTTCTCTGTATCGTTCCTGTTTATCCATGAAACCAAGAATTCTTTCACTCTCTTCTTTCAGAAAAAAAAAGAACGAGAAATTACAGGATGGTGGGGGAGGGTGGAGTGTCAGTACAGCATGTACTAAGATAAAAAAACCTGTCGGTATATGATATGCTATAGCACTAATGGAGCAGGTAAATGAAGAACACCATGGTTCCACCATTTTCATGTCAGGCTAGGCTAAGGAGGAGGCATGCAGATAAAATGTATGGGTATTTTCTTGTTATATTTTCAGCTCTACGTTAAGTCCTCATCTCCAAATACGATATTTGGTGTATCTGTTGAATTTTGAACTAGCTTGAGCAATTTCATATGTAGCACAACACTCGCAAACATTAACTAGCTAAAAGTGCCATTTATTACCTATTTTTCCTCTTAAGATCACATGTATTTCATCATGCATGACTAGAGGTCTGTGATTTGAGGTCTGCAAATTTAGTAGTTAATTGCAGACAGTTTTGCAAAAGTTGATGGGAAATAGAAAATTCTGCTATATCTAAGACACAGTAGCATGTTTCCCTGTTCACCAGTCTCTCCTAGCCAGGACAGTTTACTTTGGCTATATGCTAAGGCGTGGGCTGTGGTCCTCACACGATCACCACTGAAACCAAGGCATCACAAGTAGCTAAACAGCAGTACAGACTGAAGTGTGTTTAATTGGCTGTTGATAAGCCAGAGGGTGTTACTTCTACACTGTGTAAACTTGCAGTTTAAGACAAGGTTATTTCCTTGATGAAAGGTGGGCATATTCCTGTTCTTTCTGTTAGGGTTTTGCTGCTGTTGATCATTTGAAATGTATTTCACATACATTGACAGAATTTCTGTTGAGATAAAGAATTCACAGGTGCCAGTCTTGCAGAAGCTCAGAGAAGCATCTGTTCAGCTTTATCTTTTCTTCTGGGAATGTCTTTTCTTCCCTCTAGTGTCAGGCTATCAACCAAAAGGGAATTCAAGTAGACTAAAATATTAACTGACAGGTGATTTTTTTCACTTCAGGGAAGGTTTTAATACACCAGTTGATTATTTCTCTGAGAGCAAAGTAAACGGAGATACTCTGATTCCTATGGTAGTAAAAAACATAACATTACTTGGTAATTGAATAAGTGAAAACAATGAGATGTAAATAGGAAGACAGATGGGAAGGTTTGCCTTTAGAAGTCAGTGGATCAAGAAAAATTTGGCCTGAGCCTGTTTTGCAGGCTTCACATTTGATTCTGTGCGAGTGAAGTTAACTTTAGTACACAAGCCATGGAGTCCAAATTTTTAGCCTACCACTAAATCTGACAGAACAGGGTGATACAGGGCAAGGTTCCTCTGGCTTGCTTTGGCACAAGACGTGACAGTAGCACATACTTCCAAGACAACAGAGTTTGCCCATACCTTCTCAAAACTGGGCCTTAACCTCATCTCCTGCAGGCTTTCCACCTTCAATAATGCACACTTCTGGCACCATGAGCCATGGTCTCACGGCTCTTTACTGTCATCCACACTCATCCTTCTCATAGCACCCTCCTCAAACTGGCACCCAGTTGTGCCTCCCTACCAAAAGCATAGGACTGCTCACTAATCCATCTCCTGTCTCACCTGCCTCAGCTTTATCCTGAGCTGAAGTGTAATGTAGTGAGTGATAGGTTTCAGACCATCCTCTGAGGCAAGTAGCAGTTGTAGTCTTTGACTGTGCAGGTTTTCACAAGAACTAGGAGTCATTTTAGTGTATTGCTCTTATATAAGATCTGAGTCCATGTGGAGCCCAAAGCTTCTGGGGCTCCCTGGTGTGCGGTTTGTTGTGCTGCAAATTGTCTGTTTTCAGGTGGTTTGTGACCACCAGTTACTGGTTACTCTAGGGTGACCTGAGGAGGGACATGCCCAGAGTTTGTTCCTGTTAGGTTACATGGCCTTAGTTGTTAGCCCTCTCACTGCTGGGAAGCTGTAGCAATGGACTCATTGCAGGCAGCCTTTCTTATCTTTCTCTTATACCTTCTGGCTCTGTATTGCCCTGGGGCTCTTTGTGCATTTCTATTGAGGCACCCCAGGTCCTGAATGAAAAAAACAGATTACTTCTACTGTGTGACTCTTCTTCCCTAAAGATGTCCTGGAGGATAGCGCCAAAGGCTTAGCTGCTGTATGGGGACTTGACAGTGGAATAAATTTCACCTTGTGGTCCTTCACTGGGCAGCAGTCAACAGTTCAAGCCTCTTTAGCTACCTTGAATGATTTCTGTTGTTTATATACATTCACACCTCCTGTGCTGCCTACAGCACAGATCAGATAAACAGGCTTTATTATACTTACTACTTTTATCATCCAACACTATCAACAACTACAACAAAGTAGATGATAGGATAAAAAGAAGGATCCCTAATATTGTAATGATAACTGCCCTGGTGAGGAACATCTGAGGAATGCCCATCAGTTGAGTGTTCCTCAAATTTATCCTCACAGCAGTCATATCAATTGCCAGCTATGGTTCCTAAATGTATGTTAAAAGTAAGAACTGGGAGCTACATCAAGACAGCAGACAGTGTATATTTTTCTGAATCTTATGGCAGCTTTACATTGAACAACTTGATTTTATTCAGATAAATTTATTGTAAATTGTTTATTAACGTACATGTTAATGTTTCTGTGGCAGAGTGTCTTTCATATTTCATAAAAATAATAGATAATTATATTTAGTTGTTAAGTTTTCAGCTTTGGGACAGTTCCTTCTCCCACAGCTCTGAGCCACTCTCCAGATACAAGACTACTGAACCTTTCAAACCCTGGCTGGTTTACACAATCTGATATGTAATAAAGACTGTACCATTTTTGTTAAAAATATAAGCAACGTGTGCTTGAGGTCAGCACCTTTTCTCTAATTGACTGCAATTTGAAATAAAACAGGTGTGGGTTCAGTACCTTTTTTTAGTGTTTGATCTATCAAAGTGCTGAGCACTCTTTACAGTGACTTTCCTGGGAGAGACATGCCTAGGATTTAGATGGGGATCTAGATTAGCATATTTCAGGATATAACTCTGAAATTGCACATTATTTATTTTTAAGAGCACTGTTACTTTGTGTAGGGAAAAGCACAATTGTTCTAAATGTAGATAAAATAAAGGAAGAGCGTTTACAGAGAGCTTCATTCCTGCACAGTACTATTGCTACTGAGCATATGTAATACAATTTCTGTGGTTTAAAGTATTGATATGTATTCTGTCAGGATTGTCATGTTTGACACTGTTGATATTACTTCAAGTACAGCTATGGGGATTGTTTTTTATTTGTATAACTGTAAAATAAAGAGGTTTTTTTCATTTTTTCTGCTATATTCTGTCCCATATTCCTTTGTAACACAGTTGTGATAATATTTTTCAGTTATGTGCTAATTATAAGGATATGTGGAAGGAGAGTGTCTGCTCCTTTAAGGTGTCTGTTCAAGGACTTTCTCAAAACAAAAGGGGATATTAAGAAAAGGAGGAAGCCATAAACAAGAACACAGAGAGACACAAACCTGACCCACAAATTACAAGGGAGGCAGCGATAAGAACCTAAATTGATCAGTCGCACCAACTGGTAAGGATATGTAGGAATGTTTATTACAGTAAGATTATCTGATCGAGGACCTTGTCAAATGGCATACTAAGGAAAAGGAGGAAGCAATAAAG